GTCTTGCTGTCTTTCAGATCCTGGCTGTCTTTGACATCCTCACCTTTGTATGTGTCGCCTGAAATTGAAACGATGCTGCCTAGGCTGGGTAGGTGAAAGAGATAACTCCGTCTAGATTTCTCTCGTTGATAGTGACTGATATTTGTTGTTGATGTTGTTGTTGGTTGTGTATCTTCATCACCTCCGGCTTCTTTACGTTCACCTGAATGAAGTTTCATCTTCGATGCCTCTTCTACCAACTTGTTAGTTTTCACTTGTAGATCTTAGTGTTCGTGCGACATAAGACATTAGACCTAATTCATCATGGGGGAAATCCAAATCTTCTAGGGTCTTTGTCTTCTCATCGGTTAGACAGTGTATGCCCATCTTCTCACAGCTTCTCACAGTTTGTTGCATGATCCAGTCCATTCCAGTCGACTACAATCAGGAAGATGATTGGTGGTAGTAGGCGGCAACCTTGTCTTACTCCTTCCTGTCTTCACGTCACTTCAATGGCGTCACTGAGCCTTCCATTGTGAATCACTTGGCATTTAGCATCCACATGTAGCATAAAGCTGCTGTTAAATGGGGATGATAGAGGTTTGCGGCACTCCGTAGTGTTGAAGTCGCCAATTTACTACTATTAACCCAAACCACCTAGTAGACAGAGTAGTAGACGCTAAAATTAGTGTTAAGGAAACACTATTGATACTAGGCGATAAGTGATGATGAAAATAAAACCTAGATTACATCAGGATTTACCTACTTAGTGCTCTGTCGAATGACCTTCCAGACCCGCTAACGATCTGATCTTCACATCTCTTCAGTCACTGATGATTTCACTCGGCTACCATTTAAACCTGTGATATATGGCTAATCATTGATCGTACTCACACAAGTTACCCAGTCAGGTCTTTTCGTCTCAATTCAAATCGAAATGGGTTTAAGAGAGTGAGATGATTTGAAATAGTCTTTGTTTGACTGTTAACTTTATTGTTCAGCAGCTGCATCTCGCAGCTCCATTGCGAAAGCATCAGTTTGCTAACCTGAAGGCCGCCGATTTAAATCCAGACACAATACAGGTTTACATTTCACCTTCAACCGTCACATAGTGTCAACAGTGCCAGCCTGCAAAACCACCATTATTACATACAGTATCATTAACAAATAAATATTAGTTAAGTATGGAACAGAACAAAAACAACAATGGAAGCTATACCCGTTACAAAAGAAGTGTCTATTGTCGCTCGTTGGTCTAGTGGATGACTCTCTGACGTTTGAAACCATCGGTTTCAAGTATGAGTTTTAGTGGGGAAAAACATTACTCTCTGGAAGACAGATACATCTAGCTGATGAGTCTTAAAACACGGTGAAATGCACATTAAGCTGAATTCCACTATCTTCAAGAAACCAATATTAAAACGCTTTCATATTATGTAACTGATACAGGGTGGATAGTGTCATCAGGCAAAAGAATTCAAGTTTAATACATTTCTCTGGAACTATAAAAAGGCTTAAACCATATCTATGTATTAAACAAGAATACGCTTCTCGACCTTACGTTATCCCAGAATACAATGTATGCAGATATTTTTTATGTCATTCTATTGTTCAAAATTTTTCTTCCCTTAGAAATCTTAATTTTCTGTCGGAATGCCATTCATCTTACTTCTTATGCTTTTATAAGTTAACAAAACTTCCACAGTTACATAATCTTTAATGACTAATTTTTATTTCTAGTTCATTGTTGTTTTCATTCACCTATGAACCTTCTCATTCAAGAATATTCATTAAATAGTCCTACAGAAATAATCAGTCTTTTTCTATTATCCGAAGTTATCTAGTTATATTGTTCACTATCTATATGTTACTGGATGATTCTGTCGATAATTTCTTATCGGTTTGGATTAGAGTGAGTTTACTTTTTGTTATGACTACAGTTTGATATTATTTAGGCTGTAAGTAGTTGAGAAGAATCGCTAAAATAATAAGACATGACTCCATGTTATACTGTTACATTTGCTATTCTCGATCAAGAGACCTCTGTTAGACAACAAAAGTATTTAAATTCATAAAAATTTGCTACTCTCATATACATAAGGTGCCCATCGGTCAATGGAAAGAAATCTTAAGAAGACGGGTATTTGTATTACTTTCATATCAATGGTACCCATCGCAAACGAATCGGACAAAACATCATGTTCAAGACTTCCCGTTCATTATTCACCTTATACTCCAAGATTATTTCAGGCAAGGATGAAAGAACGCTGAAGGCTAAGCAAACATTGAACCGACCCGGAAGCAAAGGGACAAACAATTAGGAAAAAGTTCACGTAATACCAGCCAAGGCAAAAGAAAAAAATATACGGTTGATTAGAACGATGCTAACATTAAGCATTGAGTTCCCTAAGAGAAACTCACTTCTTGACTGGATACCAGTCTACAGCATCTTTTTACTCTCCGATAAAATGGATGTAGAAGAAATAGAAAGCGTCGTGAGACTTGCCGTCGCCTGTTACTAACCACCACCTGCTCACCCACCAACTACAGTTTGGATGATGAACCGTTAGTTATGTGCCTCAAACTATTTAACCGTCTAGACTGACTGAATTGGTAGCGGGAACAAGATGCCATCAGTTCATCCCATCCTTCTGGACCTGGTCAAAGCCTTCAGTAGCTCTCCACACAACAACAAGCCTGCTAAAATTTCAGAAATTGGTATCACCGAATCACTCAAACCCTGGTTTACAGAATATATAGAAGACGGAGAATTCTGCAATAAAGTAAATCGAAATCTGAAAACCTCAATCAGCTTAAGAAGAGTAGTACCTCAACAAGCGGCCCTTATCTCTCTGCTTCTTTTAGTATTTATGAAAAGCTTTCCCATGCAAGCTTCCTCGTCTACCCTCCTATTTGTTAATGACATTTTAATATGGAGGATCACAGGTAAAGAAAAGGGAGCCTAGGATATTCCAAGAAGATCACCTGGATAGTTTGAGAACGGCCTGAGCTTCAGCTCAAGGAAGTTCAAGGTAACGTGCATTTGGAAACGGGAGGTAGTGAAAACTAATTACTCACTCAAAAATTGTGATATCACCAAGGTGTCCAGGGAGAAGGACTTAGAGACTGGACTTGTCTTAATCATTAGATCTTAATGCCAACAACATAAGAACGATGGCTAAGCAAAATGCCATCGTGCTTCCTTATAAGACAACCTGGGGTCTTTACCCCCAAATTATTCTTCACGACCTTAAAAATTACCGTTAGACAGCACTTGTAAAGTACTCGACACTACGATCCTGTCTCTACTGAAGAGAGATGCAAACACTCTCAAGAAGATGCACGGCAACAAAATCGACTGTTCGTTTCAGGCTATCAAAGGAAAAAAAAGAAGCCTGGTAACAACCTGAAATGTTATCCACCAAGTGAAACACCTCAACAAGGTACCATTATTGGTCCAAAGGCAGCTATCTCGTGGGAACTCGTATACCCCACTAGAGGCCTAAGATGAGAATTAGATCCAACTTTTACTGTCACATAGTGTGTGTACTGTGGAACACCCTGCCTAAAGAAATAGTTAAAATCAGCTGAGTTTAATCTTTCATATGACTGCTAGATAGGTAGGCTAGGACTACCAATATACACCAGTAGCTATTGAATGTATAACCTTCTGGCATCTAACCATACACCATAAACTCTACTGTTTCCACGTCATCACTAACGTAACCGGCATCCCTTGTCAGTACTTTCAATGCTTCCCTTTTTTTGCAGCACACCCCATCTTTCGTACTACTTTTATAATAATCCTTACTACTTAAGTAAGATAGAGTTTGTTAAAGATGACGGCTAGACTGGTAAAAAAAATATCTCCATAGTACTCCTAACTCATGGTAGGCGCATAAAACCACTAAACCGATTAGGCCATCAATACTGGCTAACTCAAGACAAACTTATGGTTCTGCACCCAAGGAACAACCCCAGGTCCCCTACTATTTTTGTCGTATGTCAACGAATGACAATAAATGCTCAACTCTTCGGTGCTGCTATTCACCGATGTAAACGTTAGGAGAGCCATAAGTAGTGATGCTTATAGGTATATATTTCAAGAGGATCCGGATGAACTGGTAGGTTGACCCAAACAGTGGTGCCTGGAAATCAACTCTAGTAGCAGTGCAATATTGCACACTGGTCATAGCAACTGTTTCCGGTATTCTAGTGATGGGACACTTCTACTCCTAGTCCTCGAACTAAAAGACTTAAGTGTCATCAAAAGTCATGATTTGAAAACCTTGCCACACTGTAATAAAGCCACAGTAAACGAATTCCGTGTATTATGGTCCATATGCAAAGGTTTCAAAATTTTTGATCAGGATGTGTTCAGAATACTCTATTCTACTTACGTTGGACCTCACTTGGAGTACTTAAACAATGCTGCCAGTCCATGCTTAAAAAAAGGAATCTGGCGTACTTGAGCATGTTCAAATGTTAAGTGCTAAGCTTGTGGCAGGCCTTTCAAACCTGCCATATCAAGAATGACTAGATCGGCTAAATCTATTTCCACTGCTTTGCGGTGAGAAGCGGGGTCATCTAATAATGGCATTACGTATCCTTAATAATGAGTTCGATATTTATATGTCCAATCTTTTGTCCCACGCTACGGTTGATTATCTCCGGGGGCACCACCAAAAGATCCAGAAACCCTAAATGAGTCAACTTAGTGTGAATATGCGTTTCTCCCATCGTGTGGTCAACGGCTGCAACTCCTTACCTCAGCAAACAGTGTCAGCACCTTCTGTCAACGCGTCCTAGGTGAAACAAAATCCTCGCAGAGATATTTCCTGCAAGGCGTAATGCAGGATACCTTGCTTACAATCCTTATAACTGAAAAATGAAACTAATTGAACACCCATTATTTGACACCCTACTCGCCCTTTAGTAATTTTAATGACACGATAGCATAACTATATAGGAAAGCGTGTTATGATATATTCAGAGATATTTTCATATTAAGGAATATTTACCTGAGATGGACTTATGTCAAAGCACTCGGATATTTTTGAATAAAGCTGCTTAACTGTGGTAAATCCATGAATTATTCCTGTTGGGCTTCCATGAGCTAACTGACAAAAAAATTGATACTGCGGATTTGGATTATAATCCTTGGTTTCAGGACTGAATACTCTTTCACATTCGGGTTCTTTTCGCTTAAAACGCTTTACTCCTCTCGACATCACGTCTCCGAAGACAAAATACCGGGTTTAGTTATCTATGATGTCCAAAGCCCAATATTTCCAATGTCCAATATTCAATATTGATAGTGCGAGCGTAGGAAACTGACCGATTTTGATCTCCTGCGTCTAGTTCTAAGGGCTTGGTTCGAGTTGTTTGGTTTGCTTCTGCAGTGGACGGTGAAATCCCCTCTGCTTTCTTGCTTTTAGCCTCCATGAGGTGGATGTTTTGTGGGTTAGTAAGTTGTAATTTGTAGGGTGATTGGGGAGCTACGGGTTGCTGGAAAGTTCATGGGACTGCCAAGACTCTTGTCTGTGCAGGTACTTGAAAGAGAATAATAAGGTAGTGGTAAAAGAATGAAGAAAACAAGGGAAGAGAAAAGGGAAAAGAAAGAAAGGAAATAGAGAAAAGGAGGGGTGATAAAGAGGAATAAAGAGGTAAGAAAAGTATATGGGGATCGCCCGAATGGTAACGCTGGTTCAGTACCTACAGGAGAATTAGTAGGTAATGTGGATGCATTAAGGAGAGATATAGTGTGTGGTAGGTAGGAGGGAGTTGGGGGCTTGTTATGTTGGTGACTACCTGAGTACGTCCGCGGTAGACCATGCGAGGTGACGTAACTGTCTGACCGTCTCTCGAATGAATCGACTGAGGGACCTATAACGATGTATTGCGGCAAGGCATTCCGTGAAGCACATACTCTTAGGGAGAAAAAATTGGAACTGAGTATAGTGTTGGCTCTCTGGCGTGCTATCTTAATGGGGTTTCCTCATGAAGATCGTTGAGTTGTAGGCAAAATTGATATGTTTGCGTAGTCTACCTAATGGACGATCTTGTATGCTATAATAAGGCCACCCCCTCTTCCTACAATTATCCAAGGTAAATAGATTCAGGTGTTTAAGTCTTTCAGGATACGTCTTCCCCCTTATCCCCACAAATGACTTTGTAGCTGTTCTTTTGTATTTTTGCAAGGAGATTAGAGTCCCTCTTAAGTGTTAGAGGAGCCACAGTATTGAATACCTCTAGATGCGGCCACACGTAGGTTTTGAAAGTGGTGAGGAAGAGCGAGTATGAAAACGCATAGTTTTGGGACTGTAGCGTCCAGTATGAATCATCGTTTCACTGTGCTCACTTCTTGGTGTCATTTTTCGCCCATGTGTCTCTGTTTGATTTAGATGTGTTATAGAAGCTGAGAACGATGTTTCCTTAAAATGATAATGAAATCTCCTTGGATAAACAATCTACTTAAGAGAAGGCAATGCCATCAAAATACGTCTTTAGCTGCGAGCGGTCAGTAGTTTTTAGCCCAGCGTAGGCTGACGTAACAGGGTCAGTGGCGCCCATACCAGTTTAGAACGTATTCTGTGCGGGTGGACAAAGAAAAGAAGCTCATTCAAGGACTAATGACACTGAAGCCGAATTGCGCTCAAATAAATGGCTTTTTCTGAAAAAGTGGCAATATTGAGACTTCAAACGGCCGTATTCCCAGGAGTAATTGAAAATAGTCAAAAAAGCAATCATCTTTGAGGAGCAACAAAGAAGTCTTTGAAAATGCCGCAGAACGATAGGTCCCCGTCTCCAAATAAACAAACTGGCTAATGTCCAACACTAATAATATTAGTTGGCAGGTCCAACTACGTTTCTGACCGTAAATCGAGGTCATTCGGCTTGATTTCTGCTGTTCCGTCCCGCCCCCATATCAACCGAAGATATATCTCCTGCTTTTTAGGTTCACATTCAGTAGGGCGAAACTTTTTAAGTGATTTTCCATCCCCAAATTGTAGTCTCGATGATTAACAAGCCACTGACTTCTGGGAAGATTGGGGGTTTCCTCATGACCTTGTATGCATACGTGCCTGGTGGCGGATAGCGTAATAGGGATGAGAAAGTATATAGAGTGCTACCAAAGAGTAACGGTAGGTAGGATGAATTTTGTTGTTGGACGGGAAGAAATGATCTGGGCATTCTGTCACCCAAAACGTGATAACTTATGTGTCTTGACAAGTAACTGAGAAACATAGACCATAGCCATCTTAAGTGGTGTAGTCTCGCACGATTCTTCTCTGGAATCGTCCTTGCACGAGCCTGAGAGACGCGGTGGTCAATTGCCAGTTCTTCGAGACTTCGGAAGGCCTCTAGATGAGACGTAGAAAGTATGCAATAGGGTAGTTAGTTATGAATAGTATATATGACAGAACGTGTCATGTTGCCGAAGCGCTTCGACTGACTGGGTAGATGGTCACATACGGGAGACGCAACTAAGCTCAACAACGGGGCATATGGAATGGATGGTTGACCGTGTGCCATCAACATAGCCAGATCATTAAAAGTATGAAGGTCAGTAGCAGTGTTGAATGTTGCCACACCCTATGCTACTGATTCTGGAGAACTATTAGCCGCAACACCTTAGTTTGCCTTCAAACAGCGTATTAATAATTTGTTGTCCACCCCACATGACTTCATCCAAATATCCTTGCGCATACGTTAGCACCGATCGGCTAGGGTATAGTCTATTACATTCTGGGCGAGCACAGGTGACATCTACTTCCATTCTCTGTATTTTTGTTGGGGCTTATTTGGAAAGATTATAGTTACGCACACACAGCTCACAAAGATTTAGTCATCTCATTCACCGCCAATAAGATTGCCGAACCGAAAGATTCCCAATAGGTTGGTTGCTGGAAACATCAATAAGCCAGATAAGGGCTCCCGAATTATGGCAGCTGGTTTACGAACGAGCAGTCACTCGCTGCAATGAGATGTGTGAACACACGCCAATACTCTAAACCGCATTTACGCCCACAGCTTGCTGCAAAATATTTGACGACATTTCATCCCAGTGTGATTTTGGTGCTGACTGTTTCATTTAGTTCTTTCCCTTCTTTAACCGCGTTTCCAGATTCACAATATCCATGGTGCCGGCGGTGTTTGGAAATCCCCTGGTGCAAGAGGGGTAACTTCATTTCATCTAACTAGTTTCTGTTGATTTTGGTGGGAGATTGTTTCAGTGGCTCGTAAAAGTCTAAGATGTGCTCCACCTCATCATACAGTATAGTTAACGTTAAAACTAGTTTTCAACCACTAACCGGGGTCAGAGGTGACCAACTAACTGGCTTCAGGTTTAAAGAAGCTAATAGATGTCATGGAGAAATGTTAGCCCTGTCATTCACTTTCATTTACCTAACACTCTTTCAAGCTCAATACTTATTCAGCTCAAATTAAATGCCACATGTAAAGTAGGTGAAAAAGAGTACACAGGCTGAACCCGGACAGTGTTGCCCCCCAGATCACGCTGTAGCTAGTGACGAAAATGCGACTTTCAGGGCTACCAAGTCGAAATTTACCCAATTGAAAACATTCGACTGCCATACAGACAACTTATTGATCCATGAAAAATTGTCCACTACAGCAAAATATACGTACAAAATTTAGGTGCAGACCTCCGATTTCGGGGCCGTTACGGTTTCTGACCAAAAAGAAATTCAACACATTTGCTTGTCGAGGCAATAACCTCGATATATTTAGGCAGAAAGCTGAGTGAACTCATACAGAACGAATCGTCAACGTTTTGAGCACATTACAAGTGGGAAACCAGAACACTCTCAAAACTCCCCACCAAGGAAATTTGGCTTCTTTGCATCACTCTGAATCCGTTACCTAGAAGAGTCAGCCGGATCAACCGGACATGAGCAGGGATGCATACCTCTTCCAGAGGTCCCGTGGACTCAAACCAGGGTTCTAGGAGTATCCTAGCATGTTCCTTCGATCCAGCATCTGTCGAAAACACAACTCACAGGGTTTTTCCACCTATGACATTGTTACAGTAAAGAAGTACGAGCGCCGGAAAAAAGCCTGTAAAGTATTTTCTAGAGATGATTGGCCCGTCACAGTCTGTTCGAGAAATTGTCTCCACGGTGTACTTCCTCTAACCCTGCCGTATTGTCCATTGACCGCGGAAACTTCATCGAAGCTAACCGTCTGAGGTGAATAAAACTGATGAACGGCTGTTGATAATGATCACGGTTTCCGCGATCGCTGTCATGAGACCTTCATGCGTCGACGTCCATTCATTCATGAGATCAACCAAGACCTCATGTACTGGGTGTGTTTTCCTAAACTCCACCCACAACAACCTGCAGCTGGCTGGTTGAAACGACGGTCAGCGCCTTGACTGATTAAGCTACTGCTTATCCTCTCCTATTTCGACTGTCTCAAATATTTAACTAACTCATTCTTGCAACTCACTCAGCACCGTCCATGCGTAACTGGAGCTAGTCTATCCCGGTTGAATGAAACATCCGGCCATGTTTGTCATTGGCCGGTGGTCTTACGTTGCTGTGGACAAGTAGTTCTCCTTCGACGAAAAATCTCACTTCCGGCAACCCTGCATGCAAACATGCTTTTCTTCACCATCTAAAACCTTTCTGTAACTTACGCAAACGCCTTAATATTCCCCGCGTACCTCCCTAATCTGTGACGATGCCAGAGACCTGAGATGGTGGTTTATCGCTTTGACGATAATATCATCAGATGCCATCCTTCATTAGGCCAAAATATGGTCTGGGATCCTTCCTCCTACAAACAGTGGGTCGGTAAACAACTACAGCTTACGCCCATGTAGCCAGAAGCCCAAATCCTCTGAGATTCAGCTGTCTGAATATGATGCAAGTGCTCCGGATTCATCTTTAAACTCTTCGCCCTGAAGCATTTTGATGTCCAGCCCTGTCCGCTGTGTTTTGCACACTTAAAAGGCTTCTACAGCTGAAGATTCTCTGGATCTACCCTCAAGAAGCATTAAGGAATAATCCTTGGAACCCATCAACCAGGCTCTTTTCTTGAAAGATTTCACCCAGTCTTTCAAGAAACTCCGCAGTGGTTTCGGATTAACAATGATAATATATTTCATACGACATCAGTCGCATGGAAACGAACCAGTTTACAGGTTTGATCATTCTGGTGATGTGAACTGACTGTTATGTACAATATAGTGTCATGTATCATGGTCGATGTACTTCTGCGTAGTGTTTCTGTGCTCCTGTTTCGAATTTCGTCTGCTGCTCCCTTTCGTTATTCATTTTTCAAATTTACCCAGCCAGTCCTTCATCTATACGGAATCCTAGTAGT